AAGAATTTTTTATTCCACAAAGATATTATGCTTAATTTTCTTTTTTTTTCTTTCTTTCTTTTTTTTGGGGGGGGGTACCGGGGATCGAACTCAGGTCCTTGTGCTTGCGAGGCAGGCAGTGGAACCACTGAGCTAAATCCCTGGTCCTAAAATGTTTAATTTTCATCAGCCTCAAGGATTATGTTGCTGCCGAATTTTGCATGTAACTGAGCTTTCAAATTTGCTAATACCCACTGAATTGATTCTATTCTGGATTCTAAGGCATCAATTTCTTCTTGCAAATTTTTCTTTGCTTCTTCTAACATGTCTTGTGTTTCTTCTTGAGAATGGCTAATGAAAATGTCACCAATCTGGTAAGGTATCATTAAGCTGTCATCATCTGTGAGCATGATGTCATCACAAGCATCTTCTAAATTCTGAAGTTGTTTCTTTTTTACTTCTACTTCGTCCTTTAGCTCTGTGAGTCTACTCATATTCTGGGCAAATTTATTTATCTTTTGTTGATCTTCCAAAGTAACATTGACATCTTCTGCAGCAATTTCATACATCACCTAAAAATACATATTAAAAAGATACACTCTAAGTTTGATCCCCAGCTGAGCTTCTTACAGCACTAGTAATCACTGTGTCCAAGTTTCTCTATCGCCTTCTTCATGGTGGCTGCCATCTTGGGACTGAGCCCTTTTCTTTTTGTCTGTTCATTTGTTTGTTTTGAGACAGGGTCTCCCTAAATTTCCAGGCTGGGCTTGAACTTGTGCTTCTTTCTGCCTCAGCATCCCAGTGTGCTGGAATGACAAATGTGTACCACCAATGGCTTTGTATGCTTTTCTAAGTAAATTGTAGACATATATACATTAGCCCTAAACACTGAAACATTGCATAATTGTAACTAGGGTTTAATAGTGTTCACTTTTTTGTTTGTTTTTTGGACAGGATCTTGCTATGTAGTTCAAGATGCCTTCAAACTCCTGATGTTCTTTCTGCCTCAGCCTCCTCAGTTCTGGGATTACAGGCATGCACCATCACATCCAATTTTACCATTCTATTTCCCAATGAAGTAAATTTATGTATAGCAAAATCCACAATTTTTAAGTGTGCCAATAGATGAGTTTTGACAACTTCATACAAGTCGAGTAATATTTTATCAACTTTATTTAATATGAAG